ATTTAGAGCATCGTCTGTCCTTGCGAGCTGGTACACGTCCTTTATCGTGATTTTGTTCAGGTGGCGATAGTCAATTTATAAGCTTAGTTCCATCCTTCTTCTTCACTAACACCATCGATGACGCCCGCGGAACCTTTGAAGGCTGAGCACTTCGTCGACTTCTTTTTTTACGGCCACGTGTTCTCTCGTCGACACTCTGTATGGAGTCTGGCTGAATGGCCTTGTACTTTTTTCTGTTACGGTTCGATGTCTCGCGACAGGAGTCTGTCGAATTCTTCACGACGACGAAAAGCAGTTCTTTTATTTCAGGAGCAAGTTCTTGAGCTGCCCTTGTTCATACGTCGTAAGGCTCGGATTAACGTCCAAAGCCAGTTGAAGCGCTTGAGTCGTCGTAGTGCATTCAGCACAATCAATAATGGCGTAAAAGCTGCTGGCTTCCAGTATTCCTTCGATGTAAGCAACGGTCGTACCTTTGCTCATGTGTTCGTACTCATTGCTGAAGTTTTTAAGCATCACTCTTGCGTTACCTTCCAGCAGCTCGGCCATTCCTCTGGCGACGCCAATTTCGCGGTTGATCAACGGGTGCTGGTCACCTTCAACGACGCCTTGCATGCCTGTTGATTCTTGAGTGCTGACGGAAATGCTGAAGCTGGAGCGAGGAGGAACGGTGACTTGCTCTTCCAGCACATTCAAAGCGTGCCTCCCTGACGATGTGTGCGTGGGAGCGCTTTTTCTGTGAATATCGTTATTGCCTCTGACCTTAGGTTGTTGACGGTGCCGTGTTGACTTAAAAAGTCAATCCCAAGTATCACATCCTGAGAGCAGTGCTGTAGAATTAGAAAGCTGGTGGGATAAGTCCAGTTATTGATGGTGCGAACACCAGCCGGCGCTATTACAATATCCCTCGCGGTCCGGAATTCACGGCCTCGCTAAGCAGTCTTGACTGTCTTTAACTTCGTCCCGAAAGGCCAATTGACGACGGAATAGCCGGCCCTAGTGTCGATGAGAGCGGTGACTTTGTGGCCATCGAACATTACGTCCAAGTCGCTAGTTCGTCGTCGTGCGTTTCGGTTCGGTCGTGGCGTTGGGTCACTGCTACGTCGGTTCGCTCCACTGCTTCCATGTTGCGTCGTCAGGTCGTCTTCAGTGTGTTGGGTTTCGTCGTCCAGGTTTTCCCTGGTTTGCGTCGTGTTCAGAAAGTACCATTAATGATTGTTGGCCTAGTTGGTACTTGTTTACTTACATGCTTTGGCCGCAAATAACACACACACACACAAAGTAAAGAAACACTCAACGACAAGCGCAAGCTGCACTTCCAACCAAAGTAGACCAGGCGCAAATCCACACTGAAGTAACAACATACAGACATGCGCAGTTTTCACACAGCCTTAGGCTATGCAGCTATCGAACAATCTCTTATCCGATAAGTACAACGTCACCGATGGTTCGCTGACATAACTTTCAGCTTTCTTCTTAATGTATTATGCTTCCATCAACTCACGCGCAGTTTTATGCTTACTTCTACCTACAATCTTAACCTCGTTAAAACGTGGTACACACCAGCAGGCATTTACAATGCATAGGCAAATGCACTAAGCCATCTTCATTAAATTTAATTTATGCTCCCTAAGCCAATCATTAATACAGCACCCGGTAGTCCAGATGTACGAGTTGCCACAAGATAACGGAATCTCATAAACAACGCCTTGACACATTTCCCGTACATTTGCTGACTATTTATGCTTCTCTTTCTTACTCCTCTTCTTTTCTGTCTCTTTTCGTTCTATTATTCCCCTTTTCACCCACCCCAAGTGTAGGGTAGCCAACCGTGCCAAGCTTGGTTGACCTCCCTGCCTTTCCTCTCTATTTATCTCTCTCTCTCTCTCTCCCGTACATCGTGCCATGTTTCTTGCGGCATCCCTGCTGGCTCGCCTCCACCCCCCGAGCAATTCTCGGGCACAGCTGAGCCAGTTTTACGGGCGCGGAAAAGGCGACAGTTACCCCATACCGGCCTGCTACATTTTTTCAGGTCGGAGCAGAGTGGTTGCGTTTCTGCGTACTCTGGCGTCGAGCGGCGATTGAATTGTCGGGTGCGCATCTCCAGCGTTTTTTCAATCATTGTAGCTTTGTAGATGAATGCCTCGACAGTGCACGGTGAGTTTTGCATCAGACCCGTGAACAGCTCCTGATTTACTCCTCGCATCAGGAAGCGAACTTTTTTGTCTTCAGGCTTATCGGTGTCGGCGTGCCGGAAGAGTTTGGTCATCTCTTCCAAAAAAAGCGTCACGTTTTCGTATGGAAGCTGTGACCTGGTTTCAAGCAGCATTACGGCCATCTCCTTGCGTATGACGCTCGTGAGCGGAGCGAGAAACATTGTACGGAATGTGTCCCATGTTGTCAGGGTTCCCTCCTAGTTCTTGAATCACGTACGAGCACCTTCTTGTAAGGTGAGGTACGGGTGACGAAGCTTATCTTCGCTGGTCCAAGCATTGAAAATGTCCACTCGGCCGTATGCCTCCAGCCGACTTTCTGGGTCTTCATGGGCTGAACCGTAGAAGGTCGGCGGCTCCTGGTTGCCGGAGCAGAATCAGTGCAGGCGGCACAGGGTCTGTTATCGTTGCTTCGGCCGTGGTCAGGGTCTTCGTCTGCCGCGTCTTCTCAGGTAGAAGCACCAACTCTGGCCGTATACCTTGTTGCATGCACTTGTTCACTGCTCGCGGTTGTCGTCGATGTCTTCACGAGTGGCGCTGGCATCACGGATTGACGGGGGCGCCCGGTACATGGAAGGAGCAGCACTTCCGCCAGATGTCACGGGATCGTGACGTGGACGAAGGGAGCAGACTGCAGTTCGGATAATAAGCTATTTGGGCCTAACTTGTGGCTACGTAAAAGGAAATTCAGATTACAGCAAGACACTGGCGCTGATAGCGGTGAGCACAGCGTCAACCATCGATCAACTGACAAGCGGCGAAACGCGTCGGCATTTATACACTTGGCATGCAATGTTCTAGCGTTATCGCTATTAATGACGCATGTTCCAGAACAATCTGTAATGTTCATTAGTCTGCCCTAATCTCAACGAAACGACATACTACAACCTCGAGGCACTTCGAACATCTTAGGTGTGGTTTGCGCTGAACGTAGTGTAACGGGGTGATAACAATACTTGTGGAAAGGAACGTGGTAATATGACTGTTACGTAATAATTTAGAGAAGTTCTTTACCAATATTTTTAGCGCTTGAGCGTGTTATTATGTCTTTTTGTAAACGAAATTATATATCGTGTCTGATTGATCAGCTGCTTTCTACGCATTGGTGCGATATTTCATTGAAGACCAACCTTTGCCGCATATTTTGCAACGATTTGGAAAAAAAACTGAAACGCAACGTAGTTCAAACATTATTTTTTTACTCCACCCTGCCGTAAAGCACAGGAAGTCCAATTGACCGAGACATATGAACTTCGAGTTGACTGGGAGTGGTTGCTGCTACCTGCTCATTTTCACGTCCATTGCAGTCGCCACAAGCAAGGCTATATATAATGTGAACGTAAAGCATGTTTTCATCTGAAAAAAAAAAACTGAATCATGAAACTCTTCATGAAGCTGCTTTCAAAGGGGCAAAAAACATTTTTTCAAGTAACCATGGAATGGATTCATTTAAAAAGCTTATTGTCTACCGAATTTGGCGCCTAAATAGTATTAAGAATCCACCCTTACAAGCGGAGTTACAAATGACTGTCGCACGCTGCAATCGCGTTCTCCTCTCGTCCCGGAAAAAGAGCTGGAGGCTAAGCAGGGAGAGATGTCAGGGGCAAAGAAATTATGTCATGCGGGCTTCAGAACCTTGAGAACTTTTTCTTTGTTTTTTTTTTCAAAACGCGGCTTTTTTTGTGTGATCGTGTGCGCACGCGTGCTCGTGTGTGCACTCGTGATCGCGTGCTTGTGTGCGCACGCGTTACAGCGATCGCTGTAACGACTGAGTGCGCCATGTTCAAATTAGCCAATGGCTGATGGATCGCCTTCGACGTGCGATTTTTGAGCGTCTGTCATAATTTCTTGATAAAGAAGAAATAAATTATTAGCTGACTGATAATTTATTGTGGATTCCAGGCAGCGTGCTGCGCTATAATATTTAACTTGCTGCTTCTCAGGAGCCTCTACTACCGATCGGCGGCGTTTTCTGACCATGCTCAAAAAGTGTTGTGGTGCCCCTTTAATGTAGCACGCCACATTTACACGGCTTTCAGAAGAAACTAATCGTCTATAAACGTTAACTTCAGTATTCTCTATCATACGACCACCTTTTTTTTAAGCCCTCTACACTACCGGAGCGCGCAAGTGGCACGAAATCACACGCCTCCATTGAATTCGGCGGCGCGTCCGCAGGGAGCACCGGCAAAAAATGTGGCAGGGTGCCGCACGCGCCGAAGGTGGTGGGGGAGAATTTAGGAAGAAACGCACACGTGGACAATTTCGTTACTTTTCTAGATCAAGGGGCTTTAGCATCGCCAGATCGACACGGTGCAGTGACGCACGCTCATGCGTTGACGCCCACGCGTACTTTGCCCCGTGGAGCGTGGGGGAGGGGCGTGAGCTCGCGCGTGCGCACGTTTATCTCGTGGTGGAAAAATCGTACGCCTTGGGATTTCACTGGAACGATTCTGTTGTTACCGGGCATACGAAGGGAGTGGCACTCTGCAGTCTCCCTTTGCGAAAAGGGCGCGCTTTTCAGACACTGGTAAGCAACAACTGAGGCACTTATTCGCGTTCATCTGTACCTGTGAGTACGTTTCGTGCGTCATTCGTGTGTGAGCAACGTGGGGCGCGATTCGATCTGCTTGTAATTCTTCACGTGAAGTCCCAATTTCGGCTATCACTTTCAATGCTTCTTCTTTGCGGCAAAGCAATTACAGTTAAACATGTAGTTGAACATGTGATGTCGCAAGATAACGTGGTGGAGATTCGCGAATGAATGCTGAGGGCGTCTTTCACGTGCAGGGCAAGATGCTCGCTTTAGGAAGTTACTGGCAGCTGCAACGTGCTGGAATCGACTTCGTCTCTCTTCTCGAGGAGAATCTGACTGTGCCGGACTCACGCCGCAGCTCGTTCGACGAACTGGCTGAGGAGACCTGTGCGCCTGTTGGAAGCGAGACCCTGGACGCCGCCTCACCTGGCGCCTTCTTCGAGTCCAATTTGTCTCTGGCTGGTTCGTACGACGATTCTCACTCCGACATTTACCAGGTAGGAAATATAGCGCTAAAAATAAAAAAGGTGCGTTAAAACGCATTATTTTATTGAGGCCACTTGTCAAAAAAAAAGGCCTAAAGTGATTGCTTGGGCATGTTGGTACGACATATTGAAAGGAAATGGCAAAAAAAAAAAAGACGAGAGACTAGGCAAACGAGGACACATACACTAAGTCTGTCTTACAACAAAACTTTATTTGTCAAACCACGCAATATGTACCTGCGCAGGTGAAAGGAAGCGAGAAACAAAAGTCACAGTCCGCGATAAGTGGAAAAGCAGAACTATAAAGAAACATGCTCATTGCACGTGCAGTCAACCTCATAAAGGTTGTCATGTCGGAAAAGAAAGTTGTGCATTTATCAGGTTCGCTGAAGGCGCAATAAGCATGTTTTTAGGATGCAATTTTCATTTAATTTTGAATGACACTTTTCTTTCTTTTCGTTTCGCCTGCGCAGGTATATAAGTGAGCTTTTGTTGTAAGTCAGCGCTCTTGCATGCACCTTTTTTTTTTTTGTGGGGTCTCTCATCGTTTCCGCTGTTTCATCTAAAAAAATAAGAAAAAGAAGAACGCTGTTTTTTTTTTCAGGAATCGGTATAACACGAAACTGAAACGTGTCACCGCAGAGGAAATTGAGCAGTAACTGTACGTTCTTTCGCCACAAGGGCGACCGAATCAATGCTTCAGTAACAAATTGCAATCTCATGCAAAGAACGCCAAGCAGTTAGAAAACTTGCAGCGCTCACGTCAAGCAGAAAGCGCGCACGAAACGACATAGACAGGAGGAGCACGCATTAGCATCTTCCAAAATGCTTACTTCGCGCGTGAGCAGCGTGCTCCTTTCGTAAACGCTGCTATTCTGCGAACGAACTTACCGTCGTGCGCACTATAATAGACCTCTCCCTATTTGTAAACAGTGTGACGTCACTGTGGGCACCCCGCCCCCCATACCCTCTCTCGGAGCAGCTGCTGGTTGGCAAGAATGTTTCTCCGGCGGCATCTTTCTCCATAGCAGAGCTGAGTGTCTGCATTCCTTCGACAGAAATTTCTGCGTTGCTATGTTAAATGTCACAGCTTTTGAAAGAAGGGGGCCGCGGAAGGGTCACTACTCATAGTGTGGAAATTTCCTCGTCCTAGTTGGATGGATGGACAAACTTTGTTTTGAGTACTGAGAGACGCGACTAGCACGCAGTGGGCTTCAGCTACGTAGATGGCAGCCATAAAAAAAAAAAAAAACCTGACCTTTTTCGAACGCGAACGTTCTGAATGTACACGGTTACTGGCACTTGGAGAAATATTTGCATGGTATGGATGTAAACTTATTCAATTCCCATCGTGGCATGTGCAATGCAGTTTTAAACGAGGTACAGCATTGGCAGCAGCACGCATGTTGTGAGCTTCTGTGCGCGACGTCACGGATACAATTCCCACGCAATGCCCACCAGTCTGGTCGGAGATGAATAATAAAACAAAATAAACGCTTCGTGGGTTAGGCTGAGGTTAACATATCCTCGTGAAAATCAAAGTAGCATTCTGCCGCTCCGTTTTTCAATAACCCAGTGAAAATTCATGGGATGTAAAACCCTACATTTATTAATATATAATATCATCTGGCACACTTACCTTGCTGCATTTAACACCTATAAGGTGCTTTCGTACATACATATTGCTCCTTTAGGCCTGATACACACTCCTAATGCGCATTGTCACTTCATAAGGAGCGTGCCGTAAAAGTACAAAGTTGATAAGAAACGAAAATCTCTGCTACTTCTAATAACACGTATCAGGTATTTAGTAATACGAGTTATAACCGTGGTGAAGCATATATGCAGATTCGGCAATCGTACAACATGCTTATAGCTCATGCGTAGTCGTATATATCACCCGAAAATCATGAACTTTTATTTTTCTGCACGCCGCGCGTTCGCAAGCTGAGATGTACCCAATCGCAGATTATCGCGTCAAATGTATATTTATCTTGATTAAAATGTCAGATCGTGAAGTTCCATCGACAACCGGTTACAGAAACCGGCGCACAACGAATACCATTGTTTTCGCAAACAGGACGCATCGCGTTATTCACATTGCACACACCACGCACAATATTCCTAGTTTCACCGTCCGTAAAGGTGAATCAATAAGTTTTAGCTTGTACGTATACTTCTTTACGTTACCGTGTTACCGGATACCGGATAGAATCTGCTCATGCGCGGGTCTTTACGGAACGTAAGGCTTTACGTTTCCCGCTGGATCGGGTTTCGAAGTTTACGTTTCCCGCCATATAGACTTTACCTTTCCAGCCTTATCTCGCAAATACACCTTCGTTCGTAAAAGCTCGTGGTATCCGCATTGCGGGGACTCTAACCGTCGAGTTGCTATAAGCAGAAGTAGCCGAAGTGCGAGCGCCAATGGCCATTACGTTGTTTTAGCCAGATTACCAAAGCTAGAATAGTCTAGTACATAAACGCCGTAAACGTGCGAATTCCCGAGAAGCTGCATAGGTGGTGCTACCTAGCGGGGCAATAGTGAACCAGGTAATCACAAAATTGTTATTGCAGAAACATCGTGCATTGTACATCTGATGCAAAAAAAAAACGCACAGCGCCGTTATTACAAATGAGTTACCTTTTTAATCATTCTCGCCTCAAAAACGTTACGCGTAAGCCAACGTGTTCATGACTGGTTGCACGAAGTGTCACAAGATGTCGACACCATCGTTGCAGTAGCCTTGTATTTTTTACTTTTTTGCCCATACGAGGATACTGTACACAATAAAAGATGATGATGATATATGGTGTTTTTTGGCGCAAGGGCCATTTGTTGGCCAAAGAGCGCCATTTCATCTTACTAAAAATATGGACAATGATTGTGATAAGCGGCTGTATATGGGCCATAAAATTCCTCGCGACAAGGCGGGTAAGAACATACAAGTAATAAAATGATGACCATGCCGTGAAAGATGTGTGTGGTGTGAATGATGACAAAAGTTGGTGATAATAAGACGATGGTGGATTTGTATGGCATTAGCACAAGTGCCTCACTCGTTCATACCCTTGCGTCCAAGGGCCGTGAGGCAAGTGCTTTCTTGTGTAACCTCCGCAGCAAAAACCTCTCTAGAGAGGCCGTGCTACGGAATGCCCGGGTATATGATATGAAAATTATGAATTTCTTTTAAAAACGCTAACAATGATTTATGACTAAAAAGTGGTTCCCTACCGACGAACATTGCAGGGTGTAAAGGTATATGCTGTCGGTAGGGTAATGATAAATGTCGTTTTCTTAGAGTTTCTAAGTGTTAGCACTGGATTAACATGTGAAGGACTGTCAATGCTTCACCACATCTGTCACACAATGGTGGATTGCCACCAGACAAAAGATATGTGTGTGTCGTGTATGTGTCTCCTATCCTGAGTCTCGTTAGTATTACCTCTGTATGACGCGATTTCGATACGGGCAGCCAATGACCAAGGTGTGGCTTAATAACGTGTAGTTTGTTTTGTGTGTGTGTATCCCACTTGCTCTGCCAGTATACCCTGAGGTTTCGTTTGAGAGACGGCTTAAGATCAAGGGCCGGAATTGATATGGGTGTAGGGGCAGTGCTTTTGTGGACGGATGCAGCGAGCTGATTTGCCCTCACGTTGCCTTGAATCTCACGGTGCCCTGGCACCCAGCACACTACAACATGTTGGTTGAGTGTGTAGAGTGTGCATAAAATGGAGTAAAGTGAAACGAGGACAGGGTTTTTTTTAAGACTGTGCAGAGCCGTTACCACACTGAGGGAGTCTGTATAAATTACTGCTTTTGTATTTGTGATTGTTTGATGTGTTTAGCTGCCACAAGTATCGCGTAAGCTTCCGCTGTGAAGATACTTGTGCCTGGATGTAGAGGGCCAGCATCCGAAAAGGAAGGGCCAGCAGCAGCGTAGGACACAGAGGATTAGACTTAGAGGCATCTGTAAAAAACTCAGGACGTGTGTATTTGTGTTGAAGTTCCAAGAAGTATGTTCGAATATGGGCAATAGGCGCATGTTTAGTAACTTCTAGGAAAGACACATCACAATCTATAGTCTGCCACTGCCACGGTGGCGGGTATGCTACAGGAGCCATTAAACTGTGTTCGAGTGACACTCCAGTGTCCTCAGCTAGACCCTTCAGGCGAACTGAGAAGGGCTGCCTCATTGAAGGCCTGTTTTGAAAAAGAATGGAGCTCGACAAGTCATTAATAGTAGAGTATGAGGGGTGCCTCTTGTCTGCTTTCACCTTAAGGAAATATACAAAGGACATGTAGGTTCTTTGCAGATGAAGCGACCACTCATTTGACTCAACGTAAAGGCTTTCTACGGGGCTGGTGCGAAAAGCACCCGTAGAAAGGCAGATGCCCGAATGGTGCACGGGATCCAACATCTTCAAAGCACTTTGAGTCGCAAACTGATAAACAATGGACCCACAATCTAAGCGGGTGCGAATAAGGCTTCTATACAGGTTCATGAGGCATTTCCTGTCACTACCCCACGTAGTACGTGACAACACTTTTATAACATTCAAGGCTTTTAAACATTTTGTTTTTAAATACTTTATGTTGGGTACGAAGGTCAACTTGTTGTCAAAGATTAAGGCTAAGAATTTATGCTCGGCTTTGACGGACAGACGTTGCCCGTTCAGTTGAATGTCAGGTTCCGAGTGCATGCCTCTCTTTCGAGAGAACAAAACACACGTGCTTTTTTGTGGGTTAAGTCGAAATCCGTTTTCATCTGCCCATTTTGAGTGAGGCCTTATTTAAACCCAGCTGTACCTGCCGCTCACACACAATAAAAGAACGTCTCGTGATTTCACCACAATAGAGATTCAATCATGTGTAGGTTAAATGCAGTTTATATGCAGTTAGTATCACCATTTACGGTTCGCGAAAACGTAAAGGTATACGCGTTTACGTACGTACGTGAACGTTTACGTATGAGGAGCTAACACGTTGAAAGATATCCGTTCCAGTAAGACGG